ACTAGATAAGGAAATATATGTAAGGGCACCACACAGTCAATACACTAATAAGAATGAAATCTGGCTATTGAACAAAAGTCTATATGGGTTAAAACAATCTGGCAAAAGATGGTATGATTGTTTGGTAAAAGTACTTAAGACCATGGATTTTAACGCTACCACCGCTGATAACTGTTTCTTTGTAAAAAAAAGTGATGATCACATTGAATTCGTGTTAATTTATGTAGATGATATTTTATATATAGGAAAAAACAAGGAGAGAAGAGAAACCTTTGTAAATAAGCTAAACGAACATTTTTCGTTGAAATCTCTAGGTAAAGTAAACAAATACTTTGGTGTACAAATTAACAAAACTAGAAGGGGATTCAAACTCACTCAGAAAGATAAGATTATTGAACTTCTAAACAAATGCAATTTAAACAATGCTAAACCATGTGACACTCCCATGCAAACTGATTTCCTTAGAAACAATGATGAGTCTTCCCCTGAATTTAAAGATAATACATTCTATAGATCAGTCATAGGTTCACTTCTTTATATATCTAATTGGACCAGACCAGATATTGCATTACCTCTCAATTTATTGTCAAGACATGTTAGTAAACCAACTATGTATCATTGGGAAGCTGTCAAAAGAATTCTAAGATATCTAAAAAGTACATTAGATTTTTGTTTAGTATTAGAACCTAGTAATGACAAAGAGCCAAAACTTACTTGTTACGCAGATGCGGATTGGGCTGGAGATATATCATGCAGAAAGAGCACTTCTGGTTATATTTTTCTATTAAATAACTGTCCAGTTTACTGGTACACTGGTAAACAAGAACTGGTAGCCACTTCAACCACAGAAGCGGAATATGTTTGTTTATCCAAAGCTGCAAATAACCTTGTATGGTTTAATGATTTGATTTCAGATGTCTGGAAAAAACCTGCTTTACCTTTTGTTATGCATGAAGATAATAAAGCAGCCATTGAAATATCCAGATCCGATGCCATTGGACAAAGATCCAGGCATATAGATATAAAGTTTAAACATGTGAGACAATTGTCTCAAGATGGATTTATCAAAGCAGTGCATTGTGATACCTCTGAACAATTAGCTGACATATTAACGAAGCCTTTACCTTCTAAACAGCACAAATATTTAACTTCAAAATTATATGTCTTATATTGTCCTGAATCTGAATGTAATTGGTGTTGTATAGCGAACCGGCATTTAGAGGGGGATTTGTCAGATGTAAATGCCTTATTCCCTAATCTGTAAATAATGTATATATGGGATATCAGGGGTTAACTTATTCTTTGTTTCTTAATGTATTCATAATTCACCACTCCCATCCTTGACTCCGCCCTTTGTATATATAAGGAGCCACCCTCACCATTTCCCTTGCTTCTATCTGTAAATATTCAGTGAATATAGAATGCCTGTTAAGATTAAAGAGAGATATATTTAAACCTCTAATCTTTATTATCATTATTGAGTCTGATCCTAAAAATATTGCGACATCAGCTTTCCTAAAAATAGAATAGAAGAACAGAATTGGAAGGGACTTTGGAAGTCTTCTAGTCCAACCCACTGCTCAAGCAGGAAACCCTAGACCAGTGATTTCCAGTCTGAGTGCCCAAAGCATGTGCCCGAACCCCCAAAATGCAATGCACGCATGTCCCCCGTGCATATGCCCCGCACTCCATGCATGCGCACACAGCCCTCTGCATGTGCCCCACCCCCAGCGTATGTGCACATGGCCCCCTGCATGCACCTGACTCCCGCACATGCGTGCACACCCCCACACACACCCTGCCCTCCTATACATGCACGTGCAGTCCTCCCGCATGCGGCCTGCACATGCATGCACAGCCCCCCTGCATACCCCCCGCCCTGCCTGCATGCACTGCAGAGGCCCAAAGACCAGCTGGCTGGCTGAAGGTGCATGAGCAGCAGAGCTGAACTGGGGCGACGGGTCATGTGCCATCGGAGAGGGTGCTGCGTGGCACCTCTGGCACCCGTGCCGTAGGTTTGCCATCACGGCCCTATACCTTTTCAGACAAATGGTTGTCCAATCTCTTCTTAAAAACTTCCAGTGTTAGAGCATTCACAATTTCTGGAGGCAACTCGTTCCATTGATAAATTGTTCTAACTGTCAGGAAATTTCTCTTTAGTTCTAGGTTGCTTCTCTCCTTGATTAGTTTCCATCCATTGCTTCTTTTCCTACCTTCAGATGCTTTGGAAAATAGCTTGACTCCCCCTTCAAATATTGGAACGCTGCTATCATATCACCCCTTCTTTTAATTAAACTAAACATACCCCATTCCAAAAACTGTTCTTTATATGCTTTAGCCTCCAGGCCCCTAATAATCTTTGTTGCTCTTCTCTCCACTCGTTTTAGAGTCTCAACATTTTTTTACAAAACTGGATGCAGTGTTCCAATGCGAGGCATTTTGGTCAAAACATTATGTTTTCCTTATGGTCAAACTCTCATGGTCATAAATTATTACTGGAAAAACTATAGCTTTAACCATACAGACCTTTGTCAGCAAGGTGACGTCTCTGCTTTTTAATATGCTCTCTAGGTTTACCTCAGGGCATACTAGTTCCTTTCCCAAAACCAACTTCCATCAGAAATGCCCCACTGCCTTCCAAAATGATTGGGTGATCGGTCAATGTAGGTAATAATAAATGGCAGGGATCCTCAAACTATGGCCTGTGGGCCAAATATGGCCCGCCAAAGCCATTAATCAAGCCTGCATGGAACTATGAGGCTGCCCCGCCCACCCACCGGCTCCCACCCTTTGGTCGAGTGCAGGCCTTACTTTCGTGAGTCCCGCGGGCTGAAACTGGAAAGTAAGGCCAAAGTTTTTGGCCACCAGAGTGCTTCTGGGGGCCGGAGAGGCCAAAAATGGGATGCATGGAGGGGAAAACGGCACCGTCCGCCTCAGCTTGAGCTTCCTCTGTCCATCCGTCCCTGGACTCAGGGCGGGGATCAACCAGTGCGCTCCAAGTGCGCAATCAGCTTTGGCGGCCCTGACGGGGGCTAGGAAGTAGGACATGTCTCGCTGCTTTGGCTTCCAGCAGGCCGGGGGGTAATATGGGCAGTGCAGCCTCACAGTCTCTGGCCAGCCCCCACTGGCTGGCAGCCATAGCAGGTGAGGATGCAAAAGGAGTTGCATCCACCAAGGTGTCCGGCAGCATGGACTCCGCAGCTGAGCCTCCAAGAAACAGGCATGGCATCAGCAGCACTGGCACCGGCAGCAGAGAGTGGGAGGGGGAGGCATGTGATGCAGACCACCAGACGCACCTGCTTCATCCCATGTGGCTGGAGACACACTCACATTTTCGGTTCTGCATTAGGCGAACTGGTTGTTAAATTATGTGCAGCTCACCTGAGGTCCCAAGTATGCGGGAAGTTGCTGCTGAGAGGTGCCTGTTTCCAGGTTCTGGAGTAGAATATACCTACTCCTTTTCTTCTCTAAGGAGGCCCAGCTCTTGGGTGGAGTCCCTTGTCTCCCACCCACCCAAAACAAGGAGAAGCAATTGTTTGTTCTACCTGTTGATTGTAAGCTCCTTGGGACTGAGACTAAAGTCCTAAGCAACTTAAAAAAACGACCTTGTAAAAAGAAAAGTCAACCAAAAGAGCAGCATGCAAACAAAAGCAAAAAAAAAAAAAAAATACTCCCAGGAGCAAAACAAATTAAAGCTTAATTTGTGTGTATTGTTTAATGGACTGCTAAATTGGCCATGTCCACCAAGTCACATGACCACCTAGCCACACCCATCCAGTCATATGACCACCTAGCCATTTTTGTGGCTCCAACAAACTAAGGTTTTGATCATATGATGTCTGTTGATTATGTCACTAATGCAAAGAATTCCCATCTCACACCTGAAGCCCATTTTTGTGTACAACTTCTAAAGGTAAGGTGTCTTTTCAAACAAACTTCTGGAAACATAGCTGTCCAGAGTTGTCGGATACCAGATGGGTGGGCAATGAATTTCCTAAACAAATAAACATCACTGTGTTTTTGTGGCAATGATAAGTGGTTTGCCACTTCCTTTTCTTTTTATTCAACTTCACAGTGCACCCTATTCCAACCAAGTTGAATCCTGCTTCATTGTTGAAATCAGTCAAAGCTACTTGGGTACCACCATAACTTTCAGCTTATTATCACTGTCTTCCCCTCTTATATTTCATATGTCTCTGAACTCCCCTTTAATTATCTCTCTTCCATCTTTATACATACCAAGAAAAGCACACACATATTGTAATAAAGATCTTAGGGTGCTAGAAGCTTCTGTTGTTTTCCTGCAACATAAAAAATTTAAGGCAGCTTACTTCAATCTGGGTTTAGATTCTGGAGGTTTATTCTCAACATAGTTTGGTTTATCTGTGGTTCCCTTTAAAATAACTCCCTCGATAGCAATTCCCATGACCCATTAGAACTACATTTCAAAAAACTCTCATCAGATGAGCCTGAAATATGGTTCTGTTACCGTAGCTATGGCTGAGAAGATCTCACTTGCCTCTCCCAGCATCTGGCAAATCTTTTGCAGCTGTCCTACCCAGCTGTGAAAACATCTGGATGATAAATGACTCTGGCAACTCCCCCTCCCTTCACTCACTTGTAAACCGAGAATCCCATAGGTCAGGATCAATCAGGAAACTTTGGAGTCAAGGTGTTAATTAGGCAATTAGGAGGATTCAAGAGGTGGGCCCAGAAAGAGATTCAGCCACCACTCTTAATGAAGTCTGAAATGGAGTTGGGAAGTGGACGTAAGTGGGAGAAGGTTTGGCTGGGCAGCTCTAGCTCCAAATGAGGAGCAGACAGAGACTGGGGAGGGCAGCTAAGCCTGGAAAAGGAGGGGAGAGAGCTTGAATAGCAGGGGAGGTAGAAGAGGAAAACACAGCTTGGGAAGTAGAAGGGTCCTGACAGAAATAGCTGGAAGGTGTGTAAAGATGGGAACATCCCAAGGCTCAGCCTACATGTCTGCTACTTCTTTCCTGCAGCTCCCCTGCTACCAGCCCCAAACCCCTCCCCTCTTGAGGTGTGAATGTGCCATTTGGGGTCTCACTTCAAAGAGCCTTGGCGGAATCATAAATACAAGCCCCCAACCAGGGGCGCTTTAGGAAAGAGAGGGTTTTGAGGTGGACACATCCCAGACTTGCTTCAAGAGACCAAGCCAAGGAGACCTAGCTCCCAGCTCCTACCTTTCTACCTCTGAGCCCTCCCTCCCTCCCTTCCTTCTCTTCCCAAATCACCCCCGACTTTGCTCCCCAAACCAACCTTCCAGCCTCTAGGACTTCTCCTCTACCCCCACCCTCAAGGCAGGAGCCCTGGCTTCCAGCCTCACCTGTTCCCATCCACAAGACCCCCACTCCCTTCCCAGGGAAGCCAGTCCTGGCCTCCAGGCTTCTGTCCATCCCTCATGTACCACCCATCAGAGATATTCCCCCAGTATGGGAGCTCCTATGCTCTGCGACCACCACCCCCTCCCGGAGCTGCTTATTCCCAGAGTCAGGCATCCCAATATGAAGCCTTCAGATACTCAGGTGAGAAATTGGGAGAGGATGTGGCAAAGTGGTGGGGGAAGGAAAAACCGGGTCATGGTAAAGCCATAAATGGAAAGGAGCCAAAAATGCTGGTGGGGATTGTGGGTTCAAGAACACCTACATTTAACCATTATGCTCCATGGTGGCCTGTTCCAGAGCTAGGCACCATTATTCAGCCTCTCTGCCTCACAGGGTTGTTGTGTAAAAGGGAGCAGGATAGAAGAAAAAGCATCTATGCCTTCCTGGGAATAGTTCTTGAGATGGCTACGGTGTGACTGTGACAGACATTTAAGGAAGCAGATGGGAATTAAGTGTCTCTGAAGAAGATTCAGAGAAGGTTAAGAAGCAGAAACCTGATGTGGAGAAACTTTCTTCTTGTATAAAAAAGCTAAAGTAAAATCAGCAATATTTATGGGCTCTTCGGGAAAGACGGTGGTAGCCAGGATGTTTAAGCTAAGAGGGTTAACAAGCTACATTAGAGTAGAATAGTGGACCAAAAATCCACTATGGATTTTGAAATTTGGATTTTATGTTGTAAAGCTGCCAAGAGTCATTAGATATGAGATGGGTGGTGAATAAATTTCATAAATAAATAAAATCAGTCCAGAATGGGTGAGCTGGAACCAGATAATGAGAATTAGGAGGTTAGGCTATTATATCTTTGGGAAAAGTGGGACATACATTAAAAAGCAAAACTAAGGGAAGTCCACTAGGCACCCAAGAGGGTGAGAATGGATGAAGGGGAAGCAGCTTGTGATTTAGACAGGCCAGTGGGAGGTCAGGGCTGGGCAGATCAGAAAGGGAGCTGAGAGAGATGGAGAATTCCCATAAATTGTTGGCTCCTAACCACCCACCCCCATCAGCTGGATATTTAGCACCCAAGACCAACTGGTCAGGGAAGAGGTGGAGAAGGGGGGAAGAGAAGAAAACGGGCGGAAACCAGCAGGAGAGTGACAAATTCCTTGATGATGCCCCTCAGTAATGCCTGCAACCCCCTCCTTCCCCTTACTCCACATGGCTCAGCAGCCAATGCCCCTCATTTCTCTTAACCCTCCACTCAGGTCTCTTTTCTCCTCTTCTTTGTCACCAGAGCTGGAAGCTGCTCCCAAATTGGAAGGTTTCTTCCCAGGTTTGGACCCTCCTGGGCGCCTCCTGCCCCCAACCCCTGGTCTCCCTTATGGGTCACCTCAGACACTCCCAACAGCCCCCCCAACAACTGCACAGCTACCCCCTGGAGTACGGATGAGCCTGGAGAACAGTGAGCTTTGGAAGCGTTTCAGTGGCATTGGCACTGAGATGATCATCACCAAAGCAGGCAGGTGAGATACTGGTCCATCATCTCTCTCCTTGCAGTGGCAGGGATCAGTCTTGGAACATGTAAACCAGAGCTTCAGATGACTTTTCTTCTGTCCTAGGATTAAAACACCTCCCCAATAGACTTGACATCGTAATCGTATCCTTCCCACTCTGAAGTAAGCCCTATGAAGTCCAGTGCTTTTGTGTAAATGTATAGAAGATTATGACGGCAACCTAAACCATTTTTAACATGCTAGCTTTGCACAATGTTTTTTTCCCCCTTCTCACTAGAGCTGGCAGGGAGGAGGACCATCATGCAAAAAGAGTAGGATAATGGGGAAAAAAGCTTTGTTTATATAATTCACAAGTTTAAGGATCTATGGCCATAACATATATTGATGAATGTTAGTTTAAATACTTTGCAAATGGGATTTGACAAATTCACCAAGGATAAGCAATCTGCTCTGTTAATGAACAGAGGGTTAGTTTTAAGAGGCTTGAATGGTCACTTCTAATTCTCTATTTCTAATGTTTTAAATGAAGCCTCCGTGTTCAAAGGTAGTATACCTGCATTTTGCTCATTTTGTAAGCTCTATTTAGGACACTGATAGAAAATAATTTACTTGATTAGACTGTTAATTTAATCTAGGAAGGCTCTTAAGACATTAAGAGAAATAAATCTTTCTCTGTCCCTATTTATTTTTTCCTGAGTTATTATAATAAAAGCAAGATTTTGAGAAACGGATGAAGTTTCTGGGTACCAGAGAATAACAGGGTACCTGAAATTAATACTGTGAAAATCCCCTTTTATCTTTAATTTCTAGTGTAAAAAATGTTTTCTAACCTTGGGTCTCCGGCTGTTGGACCATTTTAAGACACTGTAACCTATAATTAAGGAGAAACTTCCACTGGTTAACTTCCAATTAACCAGTGGAACTGCTTGCCTTCAGAAGTTGTAGGGGCTTCATCACTGGAGGTTTTTAAGAAAAGACTGGACAGCCAAATCTGAAATGATATAGATCAGGGGTGTCAAATTTGATTTCATTGAGGGCTGCATCAGGGTTATGCTTAATCTCAGGTGAGCAGAGTGGGTATGGCCAAGGGTGAGCGTGGCCAGCTCGATGTTACTCCTGTTGGGGGCACCTGTGGTTAGTCTAGCGAAAACAGGCTCCCGAGCTCTGTTTTTGGCAGCGACGGCTTCCTATAACCCTCTGCCAGGGAAAACGGAGCTTGGGAAGGCCCTCCCAAGCTCCGTTTTTGCTGGCAGTGGCACCACGGACCAGTCTTTTGCTGTTTCCAGGGCGACACCATGGGCCAGTCCTATGAGCCAGATCTGCTGGATCCACCCACAGGCCTTGAGTTTGACACCCCTGGTATAGGGTCTCCTGTTTGAGCAGGGGGTCTCCAACGTCCCTTCCAGCTCTATTCTGATTGATTGATTGATTGATTGATTGATTGACAAGAGATGAACTGATCTGGAGACAAACTACATTGGGAATTTATAGTAATTGTATGAAACCTATATAGATAGGTGAAGTGAGAAAAGAACTAGAAAGTTTTACAAATCGGGTGTTTTAAATTTGTTTTCGGCCAAACTATTTAATAATTTTAATGGACTTTTAATGTTTGTATTATCTGTATTTTATCTTGGCTGTTCACCGCCCTGAATCCCCCGGGAGTAGGGCGGTATAGAAATTTGATAGATAGATAGATAGATAGATAGATAGATAGATAGATAGATAGATAGATAAATAAATAAATAAATAAATAAATAAATAAATAAATAAATAAATAAATCTCACATCCCAGAAAAACTGGAAAAGAGTTGTTACTGCCCTAAGAATTGAGTAAGAGAGTTTTGTATGTTTCCAGCTTTCCAAGGAATAATCAAAAGCCATTTGTCCTGCACAGGATCTTAACATTCTTCCATTACAGGCTGTCCATTACAACCATTCATTTAGAAACTGTTCAAAGTTACATTGGCACTGAAAAATGTTACTTACAACCAGTCCTCGCACCCACAACGGTTGCAGCATCCCTATGGATACATGATCAAAATTTGGGCACTTGGGAACCATTGTGTATTTACAGCCACTGCAACATCTCAGCGTCATGCCATTTCCAACCTTCACAGCTGGCTTCCCACAAGCAATATCAGTGGGGGGAACCAGACTTGCTTAAAGACTGTGTGATTCACTTAACAACTGCTTAACACCTTGGCAAAAAGGGTCATAAAATTGGGCGCAACTTACTAACAACTGCTTTATTTAGCAACATATATTATGATCCCAGTTTGGTTGTAAGTCAGGGACTACCTATACGTCAAGCAAGTCAGTGCTGATATTTCAAGGGCTAAATGAGGGACTGCTTGATGGTCTGCTTGTCTTAATAAATGGAGCTAAATAATATGATATTGACCCTGTCCACCCATCCTGTGCTATTGGAACTTTCTAGAACTCAGCTATAGTATGGCGGGTGTGTGACTAGAATTAGCTACCAGCAGTCTTGAGTTGAGACGAATCATGTTTTCTTCTGTGTCACAGCCCATTCCTCACAACTTGAATTTTTTAATCCATGTTTTAATCACCTTCCAGGCGGATGTTTCCACAGCTAAAAGTTTCGGTTACAGGCCTGGATCCTGAAGCTAAGTACCTACTGTTGGTGGATGTCGTCCCTGTAGGAGGCTCCCGCTACAAGTGGCATGGCAAAAAGTGGGAAGCCAGTGGCAAGGCAGAATTACCACCTCCAGACCGGGTTTACATCCATCCTGACTCACCTGCATCAGGTGCCCACTGGATGCGCCAACCTGTATCTTTCCATCGGCTCAAGCTGACCAACAATACCCTGGATCCTCATGGACATGTATGATTGGGAACTGGGACTGGAGAAAAGACAGATGGAGACAATAATTGATAGACTACACTTATAACCCAAATAAAATGATTTAGAGAGGGGACATGTGGGAGGATCTTTAGGCTAACTATGAGGGGTTATAGAAAAAAACAGCCAAACTCCAGAATTTTGTGAATCTAATGCCAAAAATGAAGCAAAATCTTTCCCAAAGGAAGACTACATTCTGAAATTCAAAGAAAATAAATTCTATAGCAACCACACAGTATTTAAACTTAGATCTTGTTGATAATGTGTTGGATTATTATAAAAAAAATTATTCATGGATGTAAGGCAAGAAACAATTTAGCTCACCGAAATCCCTCTACAGAAATGACTTGGGCTTATTTTTGTGCAGGTTGACACGCCTAGATTCTTAATCTTCCTTTTAAATACAAAATTAACTCATATTTAAGGATAATGAATCATGCAATTAGGATCACATTTTGTGCTTTGCTCAGAATGACAGCATGCATAGACAGTTCGGTTTTGTGGAGAACTAAAATGGAGTTGGAAAATGGAGGAACCTAAGATGTAAAATAATTCCCCCTGTTGGTTCTTCTGTTCTTAGTTGATTGTTCATTCCATGCACCGTTACCAGCCCAGAGTACATGTGGTGGGAGCTGGAGGGCGCCGCGGAGCAGGGAGTGGCTGTGGTTCCTTCACCTTTCCTGAGACACAGTTTCTGACTGTCACAGCCTACCAGAACCCACAGGTGAGAGAACATGAGCAGGGTTTTTTTTTTAAATGGTGGTTTTTTTTAATACTGTAGACTTATTCTCATTTGTAAAGTCCATGATATCTCCAGACTGCTTGTCCATCATTATGTACTCCTCAGGGTCCTGTCAGCTAAACAATGTTGGTTGGCGGGCCCACGGGGGAGGGCCTTCTCTGTGGTTGCCCCGGCGTCTGGAACCAATTATCTCCTGAGGTCCAGACCGCCCCCACCCTATTGGCCTTCCGGAAAGCGGTGAAGACCTGGCTTTTCCGGCAGGCCTGGGGCCGTTGATCTCGCTATGGCGATCTTGCGAGACCCGGCCATGGAATGGAGTGTATGGGTTTTTAATGTTCTTTTAAAAAATTTTTATGGGATATTGTTCGCATTGTTTTTTTGCTGTAAACCGCCCAGAGTCCCTAGGGAGTTGGGCGGCATAGAAATGCGACTAATAAATAATAGATAGATAGATTTGTGGGTCTATGATAGGTAAAAAAAGTCTTACACAGACTCACACAGGGGGTGGACTAGAAGACTTCCAAAGTCCCTTCCAAACCTATTATTCTATGTTTTAGAGTTAGCTGTCTAGAATCTCTAGGAATGTTTTCAGCCAGAAAAATGCCAAGGGAAATATACCAATGGACTTTCAGAAGATGCACTGTAGTAGTTAGGAAATATCTTGTTTCTTTTCAGAAATCCATTTTGCCCCTCTGGATGTTTTTTTTTCCTTATTCCATCATTGCCTGTTCTTCCTTTAACTTCACCTGTGTTTAAAAGTCTGTAGAGATTCTCAGTCATCCAGGTCATGGTTGTCCCAAAGATGTTTTTTCAGGAGGCAACTGGACAACCAGAAATTCCAGTTGCCTCTTGAAAAAGCACCTTTGGGACACACATCTTAAGGTTGTCAGTTAGGAAACTGTGGTGTTGAACTATAACTCCAGGAGCTCTCAGCCAACGGCCATTCTGGCTAGGGACTATGAGAACTATTATCCATTACAGAAAGGTTTTAATAGAAAAATAAATCTTCAAGAAATGCTGAAAATTGGTTGCTGGGAGGGGCAGAAGTAACTATCTCACCTTAATATGCAAAGCCACTACAGAAACTTAACTTTCCCAAAGAGAAACACAGAAAATGTCTCTATAACATGATTACTTACCTCAGTATCAATCATTAATGTAGTTGAAAAGTGAAGTGCTCAAAAGGAAGGCTTCAAATAAGCCATAAGCCGTTTTAAAAAGAACAATATATGTTTTATTTGCAGCTGAAGAATTCCTTCCCTTTGTTGGCTGCAGCTACCTAGAGAGCCAGAAAAAATAGATATTTTCAAAAGGATGAAGAGATAATTAAGTCTGTTATATCTTTATTTATTTGTACTTCACATTTATTGTTTTTATAAATAACTCAAGGTGACGAACATATCCAACATACCTTCCGCCTTTTATTTTCCCCATAATAGCAGTCCTGTGAGGTGGGTTGGGCTGAAAGAGAGTAACTGGCCCAAAGTCACCCAGTCAGCTTTCATGCCTAACGCAGGACTAGAACTCACAGTCTCCTGGTTTCTAGGTCAGCACCTTAAGTACTACATCAAACTGGCTCTAGACCTCTCTCTAGGAAATCTTCCCCAGACTGCTAATTGGTAACTAAATCTTCTGTGGGCAAAAGGCATTGACAACTTTATAATTTGTACAGGCTGCTATTTTAAACATTATTCTCTCTTGTCCCTCTTGTTTTCAGATTAGCTAGGATACCTCACATTTTTGTCATCTTCTCTTTCCTTTTGCTATATCTGGACTCCAGGAACATATACACATATAAATTTTGCACACAGGAACAAAACTTAAAATCCTACTACTCCGAAAAGACTGGGAGTAACTTCAATATAATTTTACACTTCTTTCAGAAATAACCCAGAACTGGATGGAAAAAAAAATAAAACAGAATGTATTTATTGCTATAAGTATGTATGATGATTTCTATTCCTTTAACTCTAAAGTATACATTTGTTAATTCTTTCACTCCTCACCATCCATTCAGATCACCCAGATGAAGATAGAAAGCAACCCTTTTGCAAAGGGCTTCCGAGAAAATGGCATGAACAGCAAAAGGTGAGCAGGAAGAAATCAAAACCACAACATTGGTATGGATCTCCTCCTGGTGTTTCCCATTGCAAAAGATGTCCTTCTCGATGGCTGAGGCTGAAGGAGGGCATTGTAATCCCTCTACGGATGGCTGTATAGGTTGTGGCCCCCAGATTACCTGGCATCAGAGATTTCATTCCAACAAGCTGAATTGTCAGAATCAAAATGCTAAGACTCTAGAAAGCAGGTGGGGTGAGTTTTGCTAGACCAACAGTCTGCAACTGCATAATCCTGAAAGGTGTTTTAAGTCCTGACTGCTGTTTTATCAGATATTATTGTGGTCCATTACAAAATACAGGGAGCGTGAGGCCCGAATCAAAAGGAAGATGAAGAGCAATGAATGCGAAGCAAACCAGGGTGAAAGCGGTGAGAACAACATGGGTATCTTATTCTGCTTCTAGTTTTAACTTCAGCTTCTCCATCTTCCGTGGAGCTGTGTTTGCAGACTGTGGCCCAGAAAGTCAAAACGGCAGTTATGATGATGCAATGACAGCCCCACCTGTTTTTAGGTGCATTACATGTACCGGTAATTCTTATGTGATTCTTCATTCGGAACTAGCCAAGGCTGGCCTGCTTAAATTCTGTGATTAATCAACATTAAATGAGATAATTGCAGCGGCATCTCACTATGTCAAAATGCTGAGCTTTATCCCTTTGGGCAATGTTGCGATGCATGTAAAAAATGGGTGAAGCTTGCTTGTGATGCCTGATGTTTCCATCACTCTGATCTCCTTCACTTGCAGATGCTCCTGTATCACCTATAACCATGATTCTAGATCAGAGGTGGAGAACTACAGTCCTTTTATGACTTGTGAACTTCAACTCCCAGAATTCCTGGCATGGCTGGATCAGGAATTCTGGGAGTTGAAGTCCACAAATCATAAAAGCGCCATAGTTCCCAACCCTTGTTCTAGACAGTTGACCAAATGCCTACATCTCCATCTCTTTCCTAGGTAACCCATCATTTACCCTATGCACACATTCAATAATAATCCCTTCTTGCTTGCTTTTCTAATACTCTCATAATTCTTCCCAAAGCCCCTTTCTCCATTTTCTTCTCCTTCATCTGCAATTAAACTCTCCTTGAAAGTAGTCTTATTAATTTGAAGTGACATAAACTTCCCAGAAGAACCTCATTTATACAGACTAGTTTAGTTTAGTTTGTTTACAGGGCTTACAGCTTGCTCAAATCGGAAACAACTCCAAGAATTAGTTAATTATAGAATCTCCTCACTTGATTTCCAATAGGCTGGACAAATTGTTAATCCCCCCCTTAATTAAATTCACAGTCATTTCATCTCCTTCTGTCACCTCTTTCATAAAGAGCTCTGCATCTCTGCCAAATATGTTCCCAGTATGTAGTTGTTTAATTCCTACTGATAACTTTGTCTTCTCTTCCGATCTTCTCTGCACATCCCTTCCCATAGAGAGCAAGAAAGGACCTTGCGACTCCACCCTGACAGAAGAGGGGCCTCTGGAACAACAGCCACCTCCTGCACTTCCACAGCCTTCCTGTTCCTTCTACCCCCCTGCAGGAATTAATCTCAATGGGGCCGAGGCTTATGTACAACATCCAGCTGCTTTTCATGGATTAAGGGGGCCAGCATCTCCTTATGGCAGGTAACAGAATATTTATTCATTTATTTGGTTTTAAAGCTGCCCAACTCTAGAAAAATGCCAAGTTGTCTTGCAATATTTAAAACAATACATAACTAAAATATGGCTGTCAGGGGAATTCTGGGAGTTGAAGTCCACATGTCTGAAAGCTGCCAAGATTGGACACATATAGGCCTGAACAACACCTCCATATGCTGGGTCATCACTTGCATAGCCTGGGATTGGGATGCACAAATCATCAGTAGCGATGATACTGTACTTTGAATTGATTAATGATCTCACCCAGTGGTTTCATATCAAAGTGAACTAATTACTTATATTCCGTATCAGCCAGTGATCCAAATCTAATGACTGACACTCTTCTGTCTTTAGGAAACAAGTTGTGACCTTTGTAGATTTATTTTATTTATATCTGGCCTTTATTATTTTTACGAACAACTCAAGGCAGCAAACATATCTAACACTCCTTCTTCCTCCTACTTTCCTCACTACAACAATCCTGTGAGGTGAGTTGGGCTGAGACAGAATAGCCCAACTAGCCATCATGCCTAAGACGGAATTAGAATTCACAGTTCCCTAGTTTTTAGCCTGGTGCTTTCACCACTAGACCATTTAGCTAGCCTCAGATATTCAGATTATTTATTTTAGTTGCTATTTAATAAAGAACCGTTACTTTTCTTCCAGGTTGGCAGGACTGACCTGGGATTTATTTATTTTTTTATTCCTAACGTTTTTCCACAAGCACAGTCTACTTTTTTTCAGATCAATCAAGTATTGATCTGATGGTTGTCATAGGAATTGACTAAACATCTTGTCACCTGAACAATGACATTGTGGGCCTAGAGTGATCCAAAGTCACCCAACTGGCTTTTGTGCCTAATTGCAGGATTATAATTTCTAGCCCGGTGCCTTATCACTAAACCAAACTGGCTCTTAAAAATATCTTCGCGTTCTGAAAATATCATTATATGTAAGAGACATATACTGTTCTAGTCATTTTTACACTACATTTCCACTTTTGAGAACCATGCATTTGGAAAAGAGGGCTTTATTTTTTTGCCCAACTCAAGACTAAATGGTTCTCCAGCACGAATATTTAAATTGAGTGTGAAAAATTATCCATAACCAACAAGCTCCTCCTCCTTCAAATAAAATGCTATAGAAAACAATTTTGTTTCTGCACATGCTCCGGTATTTGTCACACTTAAGCCTTAGAGGAATTTAGTGATATATCCCTGAGAAAGGATATTTAACTGATGCCTATCAAATGTTTTAGATACAACTATACATAACAGAGTTACAGCTACATTAAATTTTATTATTCAAGAGTGATCATTGTCCAAATCCGGCACTGAAAATTGGCTTTTTCTGGCAAAGACTACGTGTTATATGTAAAACAATATTTTAGTGTGACAAGAGAGATAGAGGCCTTCTACAAATGTTTCAGTAGATTAACAGTTTGCTTCACTGATCATGTGATCAAAATGAGCTAAGCCAGCATCTTTATTAGCAGCTGTTCCAATCATGTATAAGATTTTCTTCAAGCTTATCTTTTAATGTCAGCTGTGTTGCCAGAGGCAATAACCTATTGGTTAATATCATTCTGCATTCCATCCTTGCTTTCAGGCCAATGCAAAAATATTTAAAAAGAATAATATCTGGCAGATTTGCAGTTATGCTTTCAACTCAATCCAGTAAGAAAGTCAAAATCCACGGTGTTATCATTTACACCAGGAATATCCAATCTTGGTAGCTTTTAAGACTTGTGGACTTTTCAACTCCCAGAAGTCTGGCTGGGGAATTCTGGGAGTTGAAGTCCACAAATCTTAAAAGTTGCCAAGGTTGGACACTTTTGATTTACATCATTTAGGATATTACAAGGGGAAAAAAAAGGAACGTTTTCAGTGGAATGTCTATGGAGATTCTCAGTCATTCAGGTCATGGTTGTCCCAAGGTGTTTTTTTTTTCCAAGAGGCAACTGGACTTTCTGGCTTTTCTTTGAAGAAGTTTCGCTTCTCATCTGAGAAGCTTCTTCAGCTCTGACTGGATGGTGGGAATGAAAGGATTTATATTCCTTGCAGACAGCTGGACATTTGCATTCTTTTCTTTTCAAGAAAACCAAACTCCGGTTGCCTCTTCAAAAAGCACCTTTGCGATTTTCAGTGGAATGAGAAAGGACTTTAGAAGGAAGTTTAGAAATACTTTATGTAGAGAAATCAGAAGGAAAATCCTCAGAGCTATATATGGGAAAGCACAATTGTGTGAACTCCAAAATGGGAGGCTAGGCAAGATCAGCCAATCACCTACAAGTTCTTAGGCGCTGACTTATGCTATGCTTTTCCACAGCCCAAGCCAAGAAATAGCAGCTCCTCCATCTTCTCCCCCTACCAAGTCTCCTCCTGAGCAAACGGATTTCAGAGCAATGCTCCCAGTGAGCTGGACCAGCCTGGAAACGGTTCCTTTCCTTGCAAGTGCAGAACCACCAGAAGCTTCCTCGTTCTCTCCTTTCAAGTTCAGTTTTGCACCCTACCCGCCTCCACCTCTTGTCTATGGACCTCCCTCTGGCTACCCTGGTTCACAGCCATCGATGCTTTAACCCCTGCACAACCTGGATACCTGCATTTGATTTGCTTCTGCTTGCATAATTTCATGGTGTTTTCCTTTTCCATTTAAGGAAGTAGAGTTTGATTATATTCTCATAGTTTATAATTAAATCCCAAAAGGCTGACTGTACGTTTTTTCCCCCACAGTGAATAGAAGGAAGCTGAGATGCTCACATTCAAACCTTCTTTTTCAATTATTTCTGAGTAGAAGATTTCTATTCAATATCCTAAGTGGTAGCTATGCTTCAGCTATTCCTTTTAAAAAATCTTACAAAGACAGAGTAACATACAGGTTTTTACATATGCCTGCACATGTCATTTTAGCATTGATATTGGTACATACGGTGTGGCAGCACCATAGAAACTAGCAACTTGCTTATGTTTTTTTATAAAATGTATTTTTATTAGATGTTAAAACTAAATCCCATAGCAAGCAGAACCCATTTGGCTTGATGAGAGGATGCAAATTCCCTATTTTCATCTGCAACCACAGTACTGTATTAAAATCATCTTCCTTTCTCTGCCACTACCAAATTAATTAGGAAATTAAGAAAAGAATATGTAAGAAAAGACATATTTTGCAAATGTTTCTGTAGCACTCGTTCATAAGTGATGTGGCAATAAAAATACACAATGTACAAGATACTCAATTTTTCTTAAAATTTTATTATAATTTTTTATCTAAAAGTTGTAAATAGGAAAAACAAAATGAAAACAAAATAAAATTAGAGCAAGAGACAGATCATGGGAGACGGCAGGAAATTTCCCCTTCTAACTCTAAAGAGATACCTGGACTGCACATTCCTTCACAGGAATAAAGGTAAAGAAGGGAAGGGGAAGATGTCAGCCTGGGGAATTACAGGTGTGGCTACCTCATCCCCACAGGGGCAGAAGATGAGAGGGAGAAAAGAGAAAACATGTCCCATTGGTCAAATTCATTAGCATGATGTGGTCCCAATCTCCATAGTCAGGGAGAAGAACAAGTAACAGAACCAGATCTGCCAATAAAAGATTTAATAAATCCATGCTCCAAAGCTGAATGGATTCCAGAGGGCATTTGAAACCCTCCGTGACTACAAAAAAAATCTTTTTGCAAGATTAGGATTTTTTGGTATAGTATGCTGGGGACTGTCTTGTCTTCCACTGGCCATATAGTTTTTACGGAGCAGAGTGGGAATCAGGAATGATGGCACACAAAAGGATGACTTCCTATATTAGCTCAATCTATTCCAGATAACTGAAGCAAATTACGGACTGAAGTGCCAAAACCCCTCAACACTGTAGGTCTTCCAGCAACCTAAAACAGCAAAACTTGAAGCACTTCCTGTTCTTTGCTTAAATCTTTCAGAGTGGCATCAAAAACATGAAGTTCCAAGGTCAGCTGACAAGAGAAAAAAGGAAGCATCTAAGTGACCCAGCAGGAGGAGGGGAATTAGTCCAGATAATTAGCTCCCCTAACAAGATCAGATCTCCTTTGATCAATCTGGCTTCTCCTTACTTCTGAATCCAGTTCTTTAACATATATATTCTCTAAGCAATAACTTCCAGTTCTTCTAGAACAGCCTTCTCTAAATTAGCGTCCTCCAGATTTGATTATGCTACAATTCCCACCATCTAATTCTGAATGGCCAAGTTGGCTAGGATGACAGGAGTTTTAAGCCAATACATTTGGAGGGCACCAGCTTGGACAAGGCTGCTTCGTGAGTAGATAAGCCCCACCAAGAGTTGCTCAAGAAATCACTCAGTGACTTCTCTACAAAACTAGAGATCTTTAAAGAACTACAACTTTTCTTTGTTCCTGGGCTGATACTTCTTTTCATGGAAAGAGCTGACAAAGTTCCAGGGTTTTCCACAGGCAGAAATCCTAAAAAGTAGGGTTTTTTTCAGGGAGGGAAAAAATATGGCAATCCCAGGGATTGCCCAGGAATCAGCAATGTTGGGAAAAGATGGCTAATTCAGTCTAAGGGGTCCAGAACCGAGAATTTATTGGGCAAGGGCCAGGGTAAGGGAGAGAAGGAAAGAAGAGAGCTGAACCCCTGCCAAAGGCTGAAAGAGAAGCTGACCATCCAGAATAGGAAACAGAAGCTGCACAAGGGGGAAGAGGGAAGAGCAGCATTCACAGGAAGTAGTCCGCAACAGGCTTCTTAGATGGGATGCCTCGGGTTTCTTGAGGGGCTGCTTCAAAGATGATAAATTCCTTTTGAAGGTGTTCATCCAGTTCCAAGATGGCTGCAACATTCCCACAGCTGTGGTTGGAAGAGAGAAAAGGGGTCAAATTTGTGTGCTTCTGGTTTCATCAATGCCACACATCCCTGGACAACACACTCGGCTGATTTCAATTTCCCCATCTCACAGCTCTTCCTATTCACAGGCATACCCTTGCAGTTTCTCACCGGTAACAATAGTTGGGGGCTGACCACACTGTAAGAACTGTCTCATTGAAATGCCATTTGTATCCCTCCATGACCAGCTGATGTGCCCGGCAAATCATGTCGATATCATTTGCTGCATTGAACTGTGCCACCACGTCGCTGCCAAATAAATAACCAGCACCTCGAGGACTGACCCCCCAGCCTGTAGTGTCTAGAATAGCAAAAGAGGAGAATGTCGACACAGGGAAGACAAATGGCAGGCAAATGCTAGGAAAAGGAAATAGCTGGGCTTGCAAGCTAATAGAAGAAAGCCAATCAGCTGGCAAGGAGACACTGTAGAACCCCTCACACCACCACCTATATATTCCACCATACAAGGCTGTTCTTTTTCCCTTTTAAAAATCTTCTAAAACAGTAATTCTGGGTGTGGGAAAGAAATGGAATACAAAAACATCTATCTTTAGTGGAAGACTTAAAAGAGTTTTATCATTTATTTGATTTGCTGATGACTGCAAATCCATGCAAGATTTATTATATATGTCTTCCGCAATGTAGGGGCACGATGGCTCAGCAGTTATAGATGCTGAGCTTGTCAGCTGGAAAGCTGACAGCCCAGGTTTGAGACTTGAGCACCACGTGATGGGGTGAGCTCCCGTTCCTGCCCCAGCTCCTGCAAACCTTGCAGTTTGAAAGCATGCAAATGCGACTAGATAAATAGGTACTACTATGGTGGGAAGGTAACAGGATTTTGTGCACCTTGGCATAGAGTCATGCTGGCCACATGACCACAGAAACTGTCTTCAGCAACTCTGGCTCCCTTGACCAAGAAACGGTTATGACCACCAGGCCCTAGAGTTAGAGATGACTTGGGCAGGGGAAACCTTTACCTTTATCGCAATGTGCTTGGAATATAATCTACTGCGGTCTCTCTTCAACTTCTTGTAAAGAACAGGTATTTCAGTCTCATCAGGGTATGCAGTAACACCAACTAGCTCTTTTGCTCCTAGTATAATCAAGAATTACAGGCACAATACTCTTCAACACTATTTTTGGCATGTCCTATTCCTATCAGATTCCACCAAACCTGTACACAATGTCAGCCACTACAGTATCTACTATCGAGATAATACTCACACACTAAGAAAAAGAAAGACTCATAGTTGTACCTTCAGGGTCAGACCATAGAAGATCACACATGGGGCCATCATGAGGGACCTCTTGTTTGCGATCTATTGTTCGGATCTGGTCCAATGTCTGGATGGATGGGGATAAGCCACCATGGACACAGAAAATCTGAACAGAAAAAACAACACTCATACAGTATACATCATGGACCTCCCTCCATCTTTAAATTGACACTCTTTTGCTCTGATCACCTTATCCTAGAGACATAATCTCTATGTGCCCCCTCCACCCTTTACAATCTCTGATATTCAGTTATGCATTTGATTAAAAACAACCAAGTGCTAGATTTGAATTAAGAGAAGACATTCATTTTGAATTGGCCCCATGCCACCGGTGATTATCCCATAATTACATGTCTTGGAAAGTAAAATAATAAGTTGTTTCCCCCCTCCCCCTATTTTTCAGACAGTCAGTCCTTCAAATCAGAATCTGATCTCCTTCAGATCCATAATTCATCATGAGTCAAGAATTATACTTGCATACTAACCTTGCCATCAATAATGGCAGAGAGGCTGAGGTAGTCAAAAATCTCAGTGCAGTAGCGCCACACAGTGACAGAGCCATATTTTCTCAAGCACTCATCATAAAACCCATATACCTGGGTGATCTGCCTGCTTTCGTGATTGCCACGGATAAGGGTGATTCTGTCAGGGTAACGGACCTGTAAAAAGAAGTGGATCCATTTAGCTTAGCCTTCAGATTTAAAAAGGTATTATTAGTCAAACTGGCATCACTGACAGCACATGCTGACTTTTAGATAAGAAAGAAAAACAATCAATGTTGACTTATCAGGGCTTTCCTTACTTTGAGTGCCAGCAGCAGCAAGAATGTTTCAACACTGTAGAAGCCTCGGTCAACAAAGTCTCCCATGAAAAGATAATTGGTCTCAGGTACATCGCCACCCACCTGACACATGAAGACACAGAACACAAGAAAAGGTTACCCATAAAATTAGGGAATGAACAGAAAGAAAGCAAAAAGCAGCAGAAGGCAGCATGCAACTAGTGGGTTTCAGCACTCACCCTGAATAGCTCTTTAAGGTCATAAAACTGGCCATGGATGTCTCCACAAACCTAGAAAAAAATGCATCAAGGATAAAAAAATAAAAGTTTGCCTGACTGCTGATGTCATCACACCAGTCTAAGGTATTATGAAGTATCCCACCCCCCCAAAAAACCCTTACTCACTGTTACTGGGGAATCTACTCTCTGGACATTACTTTCTTCCACTAAGATCTCTCTGTTGGAAGGAAAAGGGAGATGTGTCATCTGGAATTGCCTTTCACATCATCAGCTGCTTGCTGTCATATAAAAGCAGTTACTGCTCAGAAGTCTACAAACACTTGCCTGGCCTTTGCACAGAGGGCTTTGACCTCACTCTCTTTGATGAGTTCACAACGCCGCAGTTGTTCAATCTGACGGTCAAGATCACTGATTTCAGCCATCTCTGCCCCCCTGTTAAAATAGGAAATGTTGACTGTTACATATGTGCACAAACACATGGATACATATGTTTGCACACAGACTTTCTATGAGCACAGATTCTTCTTCAAGAGGATTCCAGACCAGAGCAAACTACAACCAAGCAATGTTAAAAATACAGGTAGTCCTCACCTTACGACCACAACTGAGCCCAAAATTTATGCTGCTAAGCGAGACAATTAAGTTTTGCCCATTTTACAATCTTTCTTGCCACAGTCGTTAAGTGAATCACTACAATCCTTAAATTAGTAACACGACTGTTAAGTGAATCTGGCTTCCCCATTGACTTTGCTTGTCAGAAGATCACAAAAGGTGATCACATGACCCCAGGACACTGCAACTCTCATAAATGTGAGTCAGTTGCCTAGCATCTGAATTTTGATCACGTGACCATGGGGATGCTGCAACAGTTTTAAGTGTGAAAAACTGTCATAAGTCACTTTTTTCAGTGCTGGTATAACTTCAGTCAGTAAACAAAAGGTTGTAAGTTGAGGACTACCCGTATATTCATAATAAATATTGTAATGTTGATGAAAGCAAAGGGGAAGCTAAAAAAATTCCCCACCCCCCAAAACAACTAGGAATAGTCTCAGTTTTGGGTATCT